AATAAAATAAAATAAAATAAAATAAAATACAGTTCTTTCAGAAAGCAACAAAATCCTCTATGTACCAAACTCCAGCAGACTGACTGGCTGATTATTCGTATTTCAAATTTTTAGGGCCACCCAACTCCAACAACTCTGGGCGACTTCACAGATGCAAACAGTAAACATCAAAAAATTAAATCCCAAACACAACATCATCCAAAAGGAACAACAGCGAACTCTCTCCCCCACCTATGAAGATAAAAACAGACAAAAGAGCCCCCCCAATCACCCTCGCCCAAGGCCTGGGGGAAGAGCCATGTTTTTAGCAAGGAAGTGAAGCAAGAACAGGTAGAGGATTCCTCATTTTAATTCTTCCTTCTTTTTCCTAGTTTCGTGCTACGCCTCTACAGATTGGGACAAAATTTGGAAACACCCAGTTCAATTCCCCAGGAATCCCTTCTCTGCTAGGGTCACTGCTGCTGGCAGGTGTTGGCAAATTCATTCTTGTAATGCTTACCTGGAAAAAATTCTAAAGTGTCCATCCAATTTGGCTGCAGAGGGGTAAGTCCTGGCTGAATCATGTCGGCATTGCCCAAATGTGCTAGAAACAAGCGAAACAGCAGGAGTCAGCAAGTAGACCACAGATGTCTGCAGCTTGAGAGCAGAGGCCCCGCAACACCCAAGGTGCCACCTCTAGACTTGGCCGGGGGAGGAAGCGGTGAGCCATAAGGAGTGACAAAACAAGATGCACCATTCCACAATTCATTTGGTTTGGAAGTTGCAGAAAGAATGGGAGTGGGATTCCAACTTCAGGTCCCACGTTACCCAGTAATGTTAGGAGTTGCTCCCCATCCCTGCTTAGTCTTTGAAGGGAAGGGTGTCTGACACCCCACCTCTCACCTCAGAGGTGCAGGAGACCAAGGAATTCCAGGTGTCCCAAGGCAGGATGCACTGGCTGAGCTTTGGGTACAACAGGAGCAGCTAATGGGGAGCAGACTCGGAGATAAAAGAGTGGGCTATTTTTGTTGATGGGGGGAAGGAGTGGGAAATAGCCATTTTGCTCAGCAAGGTCTGATGAAGGCCAAGCCATACCTCTCTCCCTGGGATTGGGCCAGCTGATCAGATGGTGACTAGACAGCGTGGAGAAGAGGGTGTCCGAAGACCCCGACACATAATCGTCTGTGCTGAAAAACTCTTCCAGTTCCATCGGCATCTCCTTCCCGAAGGAGCCATCATCCTGGGGGAGGAAAGGAAAATGTGAAGCAGGGGAACTGGGCGGCGAGGGGCCTGCAGGCCACGAAAAGCCACCATGCCTCAGAGAGGAGAAAGGAGCTGGTGTAGGCACCAGTGTGAAAAATGACTCTAGCCCTGGAATTATCTGGAGGCTGAGTTGTGGCAACCGGACTTTTCTTTTGGTTTGATACGTTTTGCTGCTTGTCCAAGCAGCTTCTTCAGTCTAGAAATTCGGTTGGGGGGGAACCCTCATATGTCTTTCAGGGGGGCTGCGTTTCTCACTAACATGATGGGGTTGTTGAGGGATGTTCACATTTTGGACAGAGAAGATAGTTGGACAGCGAAGATAGGTGGTTTGAGAGAGGAGTGAAGGAATCCATTTATGCCAAAGTGGAAAATCCTT